CGAGACTGTAATTTAATGGAATTTTTAGAGAAGGCTTGACTGGCAGTGTGTTTGGATGACAGCCCTAGGGGGGAGGATTCAGGGGAGCTTGGGCCACTCTTCCCTTTGGAGCATTTTCCTGCCTTTAATTGGTACCTCATTAGAAATTAATGAAAATGACACCCTCTGTTCTTCCTGCTCTAGGCATAGAACGCTACAAAAAGACCCATCACAATTCATAACACATTCAATTTATATAGCAATGGCTCTTAAGCATTATTTATGAGATGTGAATTTCTTGTCAGCAGTTAATAACCTGTAGAGAGTGGAAAGGGATTGGAAGAAAAAGATTGTGAATGCATAAAAAAGATTTTCTATGTTGGAAAAATGTTTGGTTTGAGTTTAAACCAACTTCCTGAGTTTCTTCTTTCAGTAGTAAATTATTGTGTCCCCTGTCAGTCCCCCAACTTTCCAGGACAGCTAAGTGAATCTCTACAACAACACTATCAACAAACTGGGGTTCACAATGATAGTATTCCTTAGAAATAATCCCAAGAGCTAAATATTTGCCCAAGACTGTCCAAAATTTTCCCCAAGGTTACTGTCTTCTCTTAAAAAAATCAAGTAACACTATGCTGAGTTGGAGATTTTTAGGGAAAGTAAAAACACAGCAAAGTGGCACAATGGATAGCTGAGGCTAGAGTTAGGAAGACTCCATCTTCTTGAGTTCAATCGAGCTTCAGACACTTACTAGCTGTGTGATCCTGGGCAAATCACTTAAGCCTGTTTGCCTCAATTTCCTTATCTGTAAAATAAGCTGGAGAAGGAATGGCAAACCACTCTACTATCTTTGCCAAGAAAACCCCAAAATGAGGTCATGAAGTGTCATGACTGAAAACGATTCAACAACAACAAAAATATAATGCTGGCGGTGATCCAATTCATGTTTTCAACTTTCCCTAGGCAACCTCACACCTAGAGACTTTGCTTTGCCCTAGGCCCACCTGTTTCTGGTGTAAAAGTCAATCTCTCCAAACAACAGCCAAAAAGCTGCTATTTCTGTCCTTCACAAACAGCCCATTTGGATCTGTGGAGAATACTAACTTTTAAAACATCTCCATGTGACAGCTCTAGGAATTTAAGACTCCCGAGCATGATAGGGTGATAAGCCACACAAGATTGTAACAAAGACAGCCAAGGTAACTACCTGAAAGGACACAATATCATCTACTGTACTCTAGATACTTTCTATTGGTAGGTTTTGTGAAGCTGCCAGGTAAACTGGGAAACGTAGCTTTAATACTGCCAGAACACTTGGCACTGAAACATGACTTCTTCTCTGGGTGGTATTAACCATGGCCAGAGGCAAGATAGCATGCTCAATGGATCACTTTGCTTGATCCACTATGGCAAATCCTGTGTAATATTAAGGATTTGGTTATTCTTAGAGATGGAAATACAGGCACATGAAATAAAGAAAAAGCCTATGTTTCTAATATGTGAACTCAAGGAACACTGTGCTAAAGCAATGGGCAAACAAGCTGCACATGGGCTTAAAAACAGGTGCACAAGGTGAAGTGACAATAAAAGGAATGCCTGTAATGTGGGTATCTTGAGGAGCTAATTAGGCTGCTTAAGGAGCCTCCTTCATGAAAACTAAAGCATAGATTCAGGGACCAAGACTGGAAAAACTGCCACGAGATCCTTAGGGCTTCAATGGCTTAGACATAGAGCATCTTAGAACTTTGACACCAAGAGCAAACATCCAAACCTGAGCAAATGATGCTACAGCATAAGTGTGGGACACAAATTCCATAGGATTCAAGCTAGAAAAATAAGATAGTGTTGTACAGTGGAAGGAGTGCTGAACTTGGAGTTTTAAATCCTTGCTACGCCATCTATTACTTAATCTCTCTGGGCGTACTTCCTCATCGATACCATAAGGGGTTGGATTCACTGTCCTCTAAGGACATCTATGACATCTCTGATTGTATATGTATGTATGTACATGTGTATCTGGTGCATGTATCTATTGTGTGTGTGTGTATACACACACATGTGTATGATGCATATAGATCTGTATATCTATGACTGACTGATTAACAAACATTTATTAATTGCTTATCACATTCTGGGCATTGCACCAAACACTTGAAACACAAAGACAAGAATAAAACAGTCCCCAAGATTTACTTACACGTGTGTAAATGCGTGTGAACATAAACTATTTTGGGGTGAGGAAATGCACTAGCAGCTAAGGGATACTGTCACTTGTGAGGGACTGTCTGATGTTGGCAGTTGCCAGTTGGGTGCTGTGGCAAGAGTAGGG